GCAGAATACGCAAAACTGGAAGCCCATGAAAGAGCCTGCTCTTTTAACCGAAAGAGCCTGCTCTTTCTTTGCTTAGAGCCTGCTCTTTGGTTGCCAAGAGCCTGCTCTTTGCTTCTATGAGCCGTCTCTTTGCAAACTTAAAGCGTTTCTTCTCTGTTCTTCATACTTAGAGTTCTTAAGTGTCTAAATTAGATTCCAATGTGCTTCAAGAAATATTTTAATTCCCTATTCAATCAACACTATCCCTTAAATAGGAAGTACACAGAGAATTCACCAAATTCATACATCTCTGTAAGACACACAGAAATACTTCCACAGACTTTTAACATTTAATGCTCTGAGTTCAATTCTGTATTATTCTGTTCTTGGAGACTTTAATCCTACTCTAAACCATTGCTAAACCATCCGTTACAGTCATAATTCTACTTAGAAAAACTTAGAAAATCAACCCCCAAGAAGCCACTTCACTGAAAACTGAAGACACCACAAACAGAACCTAGTAAAAACTGAAAAATAAAAGTAGAGCCGGCTCCCCAAATATTGGAGCCGCCTCTAACAGCCTTGGAGCCGGCTCCAATTGCTTAGGAGCCGCCTCCACCTCAAGGAGAGCCGGCTCCAATCAAGGGAGAGCCGGCTCTCCCCCTCCTCTGCCTCGTGTTCTCTTTTCCGGCTACGTTTAACCCTTCTACAGATCACCGTTTTGATTTCCAGAAATTTCTAAGTAATTCCCAGTAAATTCTAATGTTGGTTTAAGCCTTGATAATACTTACTAATATGGATTTAACCAAGCACAATGCAAGATCAGTTCCAAGCTTTAACAGTTTATCAAACCAAACCTAGGACTAACAGTTTGCGTCCCAGTAACAGATAGCCTATCTATTTTTGTTTTAAAATCATATAATAAACCTGGAACCAATTTAATATGCAAAGAACACGAGTATAAGGGAGAGAGTAAGGTTAGAACTTGCCTTTGAGATCTTTGTTCAAAATCTCTACGCCGTCTCTAAAGCTTTCCGACGATTCCCACTGCAAAACTACTCTGTTGCTTCTCTATCTCTAGAGACGTGAATAGGGTTTTGTTTGTTTTTCTAAAAACCCTATACAGACATCTCACATATATTTATAGGGTTTTACTAAACCCTAGATTAATTCCAACCCTCCTAAAAATCCTCACCAACCCAAAGAAACCTAATAAAACCTACGTCGGCAACAACTGACTTTTAAAACAAAACCCTATTTAAAAATACAATTAAATTAAAATAATTACCACTTAAATTAAATTAATCAAACCATTTTATTAAATTAGATTAAATCAATGAAACAGTTAAATTAAATCAAATAAAGCATTTAATCCTAATTAAAAAAAATAACTAAATGCAATCAAAATACAACCATGAAAACAATTAAACTAAAACAAGGTATAAACATAAAACCCAATAAACTCATAATGAAATTTAAATAAATTTTCAATTAAAACAAACCAATTCATAATTAAATAAATAAAAATATAATTTAAACAATAAAATAAATTCCAAACCTATCCTTTTTAAATTAGGGGTATTACACAGAGTGAGAGCAAAGCTCACATCAAATAAGAGACCCACCCCTCCTCTTGCATCTCTGGTCAAACAATATTGTAAATCAGTATATATATGTTCAAAAAAATGTCTCAAAGAAAGGTGGACCTGACACTTGACCGAAAGATATGCGTTTTGAACAATCTGAAATGAAACCCATTCTTGTAGATTTTGTAGTTTGCAGCTTCAGAGAGGGAGAAAGAGGGCAACTGATTCTTGTATATTTTGTAATTTGCATTTGCAGAGAGAGAGAGAGAGAGAGAGAACAAGTTCACAGTTTTTTTTAATCTGAAATTAGGGCAAGTTCAGAGTTGAGAACGAGAATAGAGATGGAGGCGATTAGGAGGCTGAAATGATTTGCCGTGAAATCGCCACTGGGAGGCGATTAGGGAGTTTTTTATATATCTGAAATTAGGGCAAGTTCAGAGTTGAGAACGAGAATAGAGATGGAGGCGATTAGGGCAAGTTCAGAGTTAAGAACGAGAATGGAGATGGAGGTGATTGGGAGGCTGAAAAATTTATTATTATCTTGCTACAGTAAAAATAAATGGGCTCGGAACAACATAGAATACCAAATTATTATTCCAGTTTTTGGGCCAAATATTAGATTTGTTCCTTGGTGTTCCACTACTGTCGAGAACACAACAAGTTGGGCCCAAACATGTGTTCTGAAAATGGGTACTGTAGCACTGTAGGGAACACTACAACACACTAACCAAACAGGGCCTAAGTGTCCAATAATGATTGACCTGAGAATAATGGTTTGTTAGCATGTAATAATTTCTCCGGTTTAAAACCTTCATAAAAAATGAAAAAAATATGGACTCTAACAAACCATGTAATTGTTATCACCCATCAAATAAAATGCATCATTTCATAAAATTGGTCTAACTTATATATTAAAACTACTCTTAATATGCAAAAATGGTGCATATTCATTTGATGGACATACCAGTCTCGCAAATATCTACCAGGAAAAATAGAGCTATAAGCCATGAAAGGCTTGCGATGATGAAAATGTCTCTCGCCATAATGAAAATACGGAGTCTCAATATCAATTTCAGTATTTCATGGGTTTGTAGAAAATTTCAAAAATTAGTTCAGGTTTGGATCAAAAGTAAAAATTTTGGAGAGAGAGAAGGGAGGGTGTTCCTATATTTATTGTTTAGGGTTTGTACAAAAAAAAAATCAGAGTGATAAGGTTGGGTGGGTTGTCAATTTGTTAATGGTCTTTGAGATATTTTGATCCCACATCACCCCTAATGACAATGATAGAGAAAGACACGGTTTTAAATATAGGTAAAATAGTCATTTAACATTTTCGTTAAAAGCACCATACGATCACGTGTGAAAGATATCTCAAGAAATTTTTTTTATTTTACAAAACAATGTATGTTAAGCAGACCCCACAAGATTTCGTGGGCCAATTTCCATTTACCAAGATCAGACTTTTCTTTTAAAAACCTCCATGCTCGCTCATTGAGCTCAAGGAAAGGAAACCGAATTGATAAACCAGTATCAGTGGTGGTAAACTTTATCCGAATCTGAATCCATGTACCTGTGGAGTTCCATGTAAACCACTTTGTTGGGCTGAGGAGGTGGGATAGAGTCAAGATTTACCAAATGCATAGCAGTAAGATAAGAATGAAAACATTCGAAGTTAAAAACATGTTTTGAAAGTTTTTCAAAGAAACAACTAAATCGCAAAAGAGAGGGCATATCATTCACATTATATATTTCAATTTAGTTTACAGTGCAAAATATATAACTACTTGATCGAGAATAGAATCCCAACATTCATCGCATACACAAAAGGGTCTGTGCGTCTGTGTTTAAAATGACAAAAGCTCACATATTAACAAAAATGTGTTTAGATATTGTACTTACATTCTTACATGTATGCAATAGACGCATGCACACGCAATACACTTGTGGACAGACTATCGTGCATACAACTGCATGGTGCCCTGTGCACATGCATGATGAAAATGATGTTAAATATTGGATTTTGATGTTCTAACAAGATCAGGAAATTCATAAACTTGGGCCAAGATTTCTGGAATTCAAGTCATACTAAATGTTCTACACATAAATACAATCTCCAGATTTAGATGGTAAGTTAGCGTAAAAAAAAACAGAGAAAAAAAGTGCATGCTTATGACTCACTCCTGTTAAAGCTACATACGGAAGAAGATGTTTGAAATTGAGCGAAGCCCTTTTGGGGTTAAATTGACTTGGCACTTGTTCAGTCGCGAGAACAGGACAAAATTTTGAGCCCTAATTCTTCGATCTATTCTGTTGTATGAAAACAACTTCAAGTACCCCCGTGAATATTTTAGGGATGGGAACAATTTGGTTGAATAATGTTTGGTTTATTGGATTGAATAGTGTATATTTGTTAGTGTGATATACGTGACATTGGTATAAATGAAACTATGGGCACTCTTTCATTTTTTATTCAATTTTACAAATATTCGTATTAAATTTCAAAAAGTCAGAATTTTGAAGAGAGGAGAGAGTAATCCCACATATTTTGTTAAAAAAATAATAATTTAAGGATACAATTTGATAATTATAAAATTTAATTTATGTGGGTGATGTCAGCATGATTCACCACCCCCGCAGAAGTAAATCACTCCCCTGTTAGGATTTAGATCAAAAGTCAAAGTGATAAGGTTAAATTTTAATTGAATTAAATTATAGAATTAAATTTTCTTTGAGGTAAAACTGTATAATTGAGTTTAGTTTATTTGTAAAAAATAAAAGTAAATGGTTTAGTAGAGATAAGGGGGAAGAGAAATATAGTGGTGATGGGAATCACACTTATTGAATTTTAGTTGAAGTAAAATTGTATAATTGAGTTTTTGTTATTCGTAAATTATAGAAGTGAATGATTTAGTGAAGAAAAAAAAAAACAGAGAAGTAGAGTGATAATGAGATAATCACACTTTAGATATAAGATGATTTGATGAGTGATAGATAATTATAGATGATAACGGATAAATGATTGATTTTAATATTAAAAAGAAAAGTATGGAATGGACTTAAAAAAAAAATAATAATACTAATATGTTTAAAGACAATTCAAACCATAAAAAATCTTTAAAACCAGATCTTCTGTTTACTGTGTACTTTGTTGGCCAAAATTAGACCACCCAACAACAGGCTGTGTGGGAAATATTGATTACTTATTTATGATTGTAATTTAGAAATTGTTTGGGTTGGATTAAGTCTCAAATTAAAGTAAATTTAAAGTAGTAGTTCTTTGCTTTCATTGTAACCTGCCACTGCAAGAGGCTTCAAAGTAGGTTCCCTTTGGTCAGCTAAGAGAGAAGTACAAGTTGCAAATTGCCTTTTCTAAAAGATGTCTTCTCACTCTGAACAAAGAACCCCAAAGTGCGCAGATCAAGTGCATTGCGAGACTTAAAAAAGTTGGAGTTTCTTATACACGAAATGCCTACACCCATGAATTGCTTAATCAAGAGGAATCAGAATAATTCCTCTAAGCTTACAAAAGAACAAGAGAATCTGATGATAGTTAACATATATATAGTAAGCAAGTCTTACATTCACAAACCACAAAGAAGAACATAAATCACAAAACGAAATGAATGCGATTCTATGCTCTTCTTCTGGTCAGTCTGTAGAACAAAATTCCATAGATCATCAAACCATGTCGCTGCAGCTATAATACACGCATAGCCATATAGATAGGTGAATTCAAACTGTCAACAATCCAGCACTTGTTGAACCCCAAAAGCACTTGCAAAAATGATCAGAAGTGGGCGATTCTGATCAACTATGGTGTTAGGAACTTCCTAAGCAACACAACCTCCACATACCATGCCCCTCCTGAAATAAAAAAAAGATACATCTATGTTTAACAGAAGATAGTAGAATGTGGAAGTGATAGGTTTGTATTATTTGCATCTTTACATGGTAGATTCATGAAAAGCAAATGAATTCTATAGATATATTAGGCTCATAATGCTTTCATGAAAAGCAAATGATCTATAACTTTATCAATACACTAAAAATAAAAGCCCCCATCATTTGATCTGATGGAAGTAGACACTGCATAACACAACTCCACAAAGTTATTCAATATCTCAATCTCAGGTGCAAATACTGAAAGTTAACACTACATCTGTAATATTGAAGGGACCAGGACCCTAATTGGATTCTTCTATGCTATCATAGACATTTACCACAAGGACTACTACAAGTAACAAATGAAGCAGGTGTGTGACACAGCTCCACATTTAGAGTTTGAATATCTCTATATACTGCTGGACCAGTGGACCCCAGTTACATCAAAGTTCAACCCCAGTGGACCCTAAGGAAAAATAAAATTGATGCCCAGGAAGGATCTAGACGGGAATTAGGGGATATCAATTTTCAAAGTACCACGTTAGGGTTACTTCAAGACAATTGACATGTTAGTATGTTACGTAAAGACAAGGCAATTTCTGCTCTTGTGCATTCCTCACAACAGGTGATTTGACTCTTCTTTGTTTTGATAGACAACGAACTTGACAGTTCAATTCATACTCGATGCTTATTTTTCCTGGAATCAATATGCTCTTCATTTACTTCAAGACTGGTTATCTAATTAAGTTGGCTCTAATACAAGGAGTCAATGGCAGGGAAAAAAGAATTACCATCCAACTATTCCAGGTGCTCTTTATTTTAGTTCTTTAATCACCGACTTGCGGAGCAGAGTTTGTGAGAAATCATTGTTACCTTAAATATGATGGGTCAATTTCCTCAAAACCTCTCAATTAGAGGTTAATTTTTGTGAAGCATAGCTCTTGACTCTCCAATTCTTTCTAAATTCAACACAGCAATTGTTTTATGCACAAAAAATGGCCATTAAAATGCAGTACTCACACAATTGAGCAGCCAGAGCGTCTATGTCTTTTCTTCCTCACCATCATTTCCTTCCTCCTCGGAGGTTGAAGCACAACCTTGATTGCAGTATCAAAAACAGCTTTGACATTCTACCAACCAGTCAGCAAACGCATATAATTTAGTTGGAAGAAATTAGCGTCAATTAAAATGTTTTCCTTAGTAATGACCACATACAACAAGAAATGGCATGAAAATTGGCCTAACGATGAAATACTGGAAAGTGGATGCATGCACTAAGTTTTAGATTTTCCAAAGTACTCCACCTGCTGAGTCTTAGAGCTGCACTCTATATAAGCCGCTGCACCTATTTGTTTCCTCAGCTCCTCCCCCTTTATGATTAAAATCAGTTATTTTCTGGTGATTTTTTTTTTATAAAAAAACTAAAGCATAAAAGCAATATAGAAAAAGAAAAAGAAAAAGAAAAAGAAAAAGAAAGAAAAGAAAAGTTGCAAATACATACTTGAGCAGATGTTATGACATTAGATTCCATATGATCAGCGAGATACCCTCTGTCTTCACGAAGATCTGAAAAGAAGAAGAAGAAGAAGAAGGGGATTTATTCCTTCGTATCTACAACATACCTCAACACACCCACTAACTTCAATACACTAGTATGTAAAATCAAATTGCACAAGTATCATGCTATTGCATACCTAACTTTGTTCCAACAAGAACAATTGGAACATTGGGTGCAAACCTCCGAAGTTCCGGCATCCACTGCATTTCAAAAAGACAAACCTTAATTAGCAGACCATACCAATTTACTCGAGAAACAAAAGGTATTTATGTGATAATGATAAAACATATTTCAAGCTTCAAAGATCACGGAACTTGAATATTAGAGAGACAATATGTAGCCTTCAAATTTAAATCATTTTTTTTTCCCCAGAAACATGTACTAACCAAATTAAGAAACAAAAGCTCTCTATTAGATGACAATGACACCTATTTCAAACTTTAAAGATCATTAAACGTGAAGATCATGGAGAAAGAAAAGAGTCCATTTTTTAACTAAACATTATTAAAAAATTGCAAAAAGAAAAGTGGAAAAGTAGAAGAGAATGGAAGAAAGAAAAGATATTGGCACTAAAAGAAGTACCTTCTTGAGGACATTTTCGTAGCTCGCCCTACTGATTAAAGAAAAAGCTAATACAAATATGTCTGCACCCCTATAACTCAGTGGCCTCAACCTGCTATAGTCTTCCTGACCTTTAATTCAAAGGAAAAAAGAAATTACTCAGACATGGAACATCAACAATGTGAAATTTTTTCATAGTCCGGGACTAAGTGATCAAAGCAACACGCAAGTAAATATGTCAGCTTTATTTAGGATTTGATTCCATCAACTACCCTAACTCCAAATCTTGAAACCAGTAGCATCACATTTAGCCAGAAATAGGGGCTCAAAAGAACTCAAAATAGTGAAAAGGACATAGTACCAGCAGTGTCCCAAAGTCCCAGGTTAACAATACTCCCATCCACAGCCACATTAGCACTGAAATTGTCAAAAACTGTTGGTATGTAGTCCTGCCACAAAAAGCCCAGATTGTGTATGAGAGAAATTCCATTTTTAGTGCTTCTAAAATGCTTTACAAAGAAGAGTCTAAAACTAAAATGCACACAACAAGAATCACTAACACAGCATCTAAAAGAGGAAAATTTGGACAAAATGACAACCTCAAATTAATTTATTATCCATTTAAAATAATAAAATCCAGTAAATAGAATGGGGGTTTTATGAGATGGGTTGGTTTTCTTCTCAGGACTCACAGTGGGGAACTTGTTACTGGTGTAACAAATGAGCATACAGGTCTTCCCAACAGCTCCATCTCCAACCGTAACACATTTGATGAACCTTGAAGCACTCATCTTCTCAAACTTTAGCTTCCACGGTAATCTCGTGAGCCACAAGTCACAACAAAGTAGTTTGTCTGTGTGTGATATATATATATATATATATGTTAAAGTTTATAAGAGTTTTGAGTTAAAGTAGAGAAGAGACTTGAAAGAAGAACAGTAGTGGAAAATGTTGGAGAAACCAGAAAGAAATGATACTGATAAAGAGGGCTCTTTTGTGGGTTTGTAATCTCAAGAGAGAAATTGAAGAGAGAGAGTCAACAAAGGGTCACGGATCACTCACAGCACTTTTTCATCCCTCTCAAAAAAATTCAGATCCAACAGAATTTGTTTTTGAAACGTGGTGAGATGGGCCCCTCTTCTAAAACGGCACCAAACCCCACTTTCATCGCTGGAGTGGTAATCTATTAGAATTGGTACGTATCTATGTGATTCCATATGAATATATACTGTCACATTATTCAATATTCTGGCTAAACATCATCCCCTGGGGTTTATAACTCTTGCTCGTATCACTTGTCCATTTTGGTCAAGCAAAATAACATAGTTTTGTCCAACAGCAAGAGGGTCACAACTGTCCAACTGCATCTAGCCAACTAAATACGGTTAAAAACAACAACAGCAAAAAAAAAAAAAAATTATATATATATATAATTTTATAATAACAATAATTATACAGTAACAACACATCTTTTATTGAAATTGGTAACAAGAAATTATTATACGATTATGAAATATAAATTGTTATACGATTGTGAAATATCTAGCATTTAATAATTCAATTTAATTAAAATTAATGTTCAAAATTATTTGTAATATATTCTTACGAGTTAACTTTTTAAAATTGAAGAATTCGAGGAGACCAACAAATGTAAGTCATTAAGAACTATCTATTATCCGGAACGCGAGCTAACAACCACATTTAACGGCTAATTAGTCGTTAATTATGGTTATTAGCTTCCCTTTTTGTTTAGGTGTTCTTGTATGAGCCGTTTTTGGGCCTTGTTTCTATTTTTGGGCTGTTTCTGGCCAAATGGCCTGCCTTTGTAATCTTTATCTCATTTATATAATTTGCTTTATTCTCCAAAAAAAAAAAAAAAAAAAAAAAAACTTTTATTTATTTATTTTTAAATAGAAACTCAATGACAACTTACTTGCATTTAAAATGTTACTGAGGTATTGATTGCATTTATAAAATCAGAAGAACGTCTTGCAATTTACATTAGTTTCAACTAAATTTTTTCTAATTTAATTTCAAAAGACTTATTTCATCCTCACAAAAATAGTTTGAACTTTTAATCCAACCTTCAAAATGGTTGGACAGAATAAGTAGTTTCCTCTATAAGATTTTAGCATAAGCCAAGTGATTAAAAAATATAATATTAGGGACATATTTAGTATTATTAGAGATATTTTTCGCACTCTATTATGGAAGGGTAAATATACCTTCTTTTATTAAAAGATATATAAGATTATAAATAAAAAGATATTAAGGCAAAGTTGGATCTTGGAATATATAATTTTATAAAAATTTGAAAAAGATATATCATCTATATGAGACTGTTAAATAAATAAACAAATACACACCCATTAATATGTTTTACTCGAATTCTCATCCTCTCATTTCAAGACGAAGTATAATACCATTTGTATCCCTTGGTGAGAATGTTAAAAGAGTTTTGTACATGTGAACTAATAAAACAAGAAGTACAGAACCATGGCCGGCTCTCATTGTGAATAAGACAATTACTGTATTAAATATCGTGTTCTTGTAGCCAAACACAAACGTCCAGCGCGATTGTCCATGTTATGCTTATGGAGGATACTTCTTGAAGCTGATTTTAACTGCATTCAATTTTTTGAACTAGTTTCTATCTTACCGTTGGCATTTTATTTGAACTAAAAATAAAATAAAATAAAAATAATATTGTGAAAGTATGTGCAACTGCCAAAAATAAAAATAATAATAATAAATATAATAATGAATGTTGTTAGGGAGAAATTGAACACTATGCTCTTATTTTGTTCAGAAGGTAGGACAAAATTAAATAGTAAAACCCAGATTTGTCTTTTAAACCCGAATAATAATTGACCATTTCAAAGGTCATAGAAGAAACAATCAAAGGTAGAATATATATATATATGTATATGTTTCCATCAAGACCGGGAATTTCATATTCATTGTTTACAGATTAAAAAAATAGTGGCATGAATTGTTTTGACTTATTCCATGTCCGACTGTCCACCATTCTTTTGCAGGTATAGAACCTAAACAAAATGGTAAACAGATAAAAACAACAATTTTTATTGTTAAGTATGATGATCACCAAACATTAATTAGCACAAATGTCCACATAAAGTGAGTGATAATTCATGATTAACGTAGACTACTTAAGCATTGCATGGACCAACCAACCATAAAATCAGTATTAGATATTAATTTAGTGCAATTGAGCATGATCATTGATCACACCCACACATGGTGACAAATATTATGTTAGTACTTCTTTTTGCCTTCCTTTCTCTATAATTTATTTTGAGGAAAATTACCCAAAGGTGACTCATTGATTTTCATTCAAAAGGGCAAGATTTTCATACAAGGGAAGAACAAAATTGGTATTTATAAAATTTTGTCACCGCAAATTCTAAATTTCAAAGGAGAATAAAATAATAAATGTTGAATGATTTACTAATGTGTAATTAGCACAAACCTTAGAGATATTTTTTTTAATGCTATTTTATATATAAAAAATCATTTAACCATATTTTTTAGCAATCATTTGATGTGACAACATTCTATGACTATACATCATCCTTTGTGGAAAAAAAGAAAAAAGAAAAAGAAAATAAGAGATTATATAAATAATAATGAAATTTTTGAGAAGGTGGAAGTCATGATAAAAGAAACATTAAAAATACTATCATCCTTTAATTGATAGATTTTGTTATGATAATAATTTAAAGATGGTGGAACAGAAGCTTTATTGATGACTAATGTGGGTGCATTTATCCATACAAACTCACTTGGCATCTAATTTAGAGGCAAGACCTTTTTTTAATAATATGAATGACAATATTTTCAAAGGAAATGAAACAGATTGGAGGGAACTAACTTATATTGTGAAATGTGAGAATCTAAGACTTTGTTGGATACTGGTGACAACATTATAATTATGATAAAATGATAAAAGAATAAATTGTGTTGAGCGCTCCCAGACAAACTAAGGAATCTCTCACATGTGATTCTTGATAACAAAAGTCCAAAAAAGAGAATTTAATTGAACAAGAACAAGACAGCCTTTCCTTGGCCCCCTGTTGTCTCACAGGCACAGAGATTTAAACAAAATAAATAAATAAATAACTTGGGAGGATTTAATCTCCGGAACTTCCAAAATGCAATCTGAAAGTCTTTGCATCGTGACAATGTTAAAAAATTTGTGCATACGTGGGATGGATGGGGTTGAAGTGCTGGGCTGAGTACTTATTCAAGTTTAAGGTTTAATTCTTATTATTGATGCTACTTAGCATTGTCATTTATAACTTGGTATTAATTTGGAAAATGGTAATCTAAGTGATCAATCACTTCATCGATGTAAGGAAGAACTGCAGATAAATTACTCATTTACAGATATAGTAGATCCTCCTCATCAACATCAATTCATGTATATATATATATATATATGGAGTAAAAATGATATATAACTCTTTTTCCCATTCAAGACAAGAAACAAAATAGTAGATTTATTAGAAGCATAAGGTTACATAAATTTTAAATAAAATGATGTTCAAAGACAGCACAGCCGAAAAGGCTTTTTTAAATGCATAATGAGATGGATGGAGTGGAGATATAGCACACGAAAGCGGCGACGAAATTAGAGAGCCTTGAGGATATCATCAGCACTGGAGATAGTGAAATCTCCGCCATCTTCAATGTTTGCAACCTTGACGGTGAGGTCATCCACCAAGAGAGCGAACCTTTTAGATCGAGTGCCAAGCCCCTTGTCCGACAGGTCCAGCTCTAGCCCTAGTAAATGGGTGTATGTTGCTGACCCATCTGCTAGGAACTTAACATGCTTCGTCTCTGGGAATGATTTTGACCATGCCTTCATCACAAACGGGTCATTCACTGTAAACAATCGTTAAACAACCCAATTGTTAATATATGCGTTGTATGCGGATTGGGTCACAATAATTTTCATTCTCATTCTAATTTTTAGATTCTTCTATCAGGCCATGTACATTCAAAAATCAATCTGATACAATAATTTCAGATACTCAAATTGATCAGTGTGAGAAACGTACCACTAACCAACAAGATGTCGGCCACACCCTTGGATTTTAGCTCTTCTGCTTTCTCAATGAAGCCCGGTACATGCTTTGTGCTGCTCCACACCAACACCAACACCAAACAAATCAAATTCAATTTCATATACTAATTATTAATTAAGCTTCAACTCTCACATAATTCACTATAAAATATTATGGGTAAATAAATAAAACAGTTTTCTGAATCCTTCAATCAAACAGAGATTTATATGGCCTTGTAAGAACCAAAAACCAAACCAAAGACGATCAAGATGGAGATCGGGAGAGAATACCTGCAAGTGGGAGTAAAGGCACCGGGAACACCAAAGAGGATGACCTTCTTGCCGGCGGCGAGGGAGTGTACGGACACGCTTTGGAGCTGATCTTCGGCGTCGAAGTGGTGGAGAGTGCCATCGGGAAGTTTAGCACCAACTGCGATCGGAGCCATTGTTTGTGATAAATTAATTAATCTGTTGTGATGATGATGATGATGATGAGGAAGGAGAGGGTATATATAGAGTTCGGAGGAGTCTTTAGAGTCCAAACTGTCTAGCAAGTAAAACTCTTAATTATGGAAAAAAAATTAAAAAATGAAAATGTAAACTACTGATTAGTCGGATCCGTTACTTGCCATCAATTTTTTAAATCAGGAATAAATGGTAACGTCGCGTTAGGTTTAATTAGTCAAAATTGTGGAGGGAGGTTAAAGTACCAAATTGCCCTTATTTGCTTTGACTGGGTCTTGGACCCATCTTATTGTATGGTTATAGAGTTGTGGTCAGCTGTCTACAGTATTTATTTAGTCGTCGGACGGCAACTTCCTCCGGCTATTATTGGAGGTCTACGCTCTAGAGTATTCTCTCCGTCTTGGTCAAATTATTATATCCAATTAGAGATGTCTTTATCGTTCCTATTATAATTATAATCCATTTTCCATCTTTTTTTTCTTTCTATATTTCGGAAATAGTTGATTCATTTAAGTTGGTAATAATTGAAATAATATATACACACACACACATTTAAACAGTACAATAATAATTAAATCCATCATACAGTTTAATTGATATTTATTTTCAGTTTCAGAACCGTAGATGAAATTTTGTTCACATGTAGCTGAATAAGAATATATACATGCATATGATTATGCTTAGGGGAGGAGCCATGATTTAATTTCAAGAGGCGTAATGTACTTGACTAAAAAAAACAAAGAAGTTCAAATGACATGATTAATTTAGTTTTATTTTGAAATTATTGACTTCATAAAATTACAATAATGAATGTAAAAAAGAAAGAGAAAAAAAAAAAGGTTACATACATCATATACAAGTTCAAAAAGAAAAATTTTAAGAAGTAAAAAAAAAGAAGATAGAACATTCAAGAGAAAAAAAATTAGGATTTAATAGATGAAAGGGAAATAGGAATGTAACTTTTTTTTTTTTTTTTTAAAAAGGAAATTATAGGAATTTGAAGAGTAAAAGAAGGGAAAAAAAAAGAAGAAATAAAATATAATTTTAGTAAATGAAGATTTTAGGGGTACATACTAAAAAATTTTCTCCACATATGGTATAAAAATAACAACAAAATAATGCATATATAAAGGGTAACATGCCCCCGGCATGCATTGGTTCCTTCCCTGCATATGATCATTTAAAAATTATAATCTAAGTTTTTTGAAATTTTGCTGAATTAATACAAGATATCAATACTTTTAATATTGATATTCTTTTACATGAATACAATAAGAAAATTGATTTTTAGCACACCAAAATTCTGCCCAGAAATTGCACCGGAGAGTGGCCTCAGTGTATCCTGTACATAGAGAGAGTTAGGGAAGTAATTTGGATGAAATGGATTGGGACAGTTGGTCCGAAACGGCATTAAGCTCATTAATAGGCCCAAAGAACCCGGCCGTCAAATTCACAATGAAAGGCCCAACGGACAATAAATAGGCCTTGGAGGAACCCAACGGATAGTAACGCACTCGCTTTAAATGTACACATTTTAACCCAATCAGAATATTTGTTGAGAAAGGTCTCCGGAAAACTCGTTATTTCGGTAACAAGGCAAATGTAAAGTTACCTTTCAATAATAAGAAAAGGGTAAATGTAGAGTTTTGATAACTGTTCATTGGCAGTATGTAGTGTCACTACTTAACCGAAAACTTATACATGGTCAAAACTAGTAAAGATAATCTGAATTCCTTCTATACAATATTATTATTATTATTATTTTTTGCTGCAGTGTAGTGCAAATTTAATTAACAGTAATGACAGGGGTGTCGCATTTGGACGCATTCGATTAATTTTATGTAAGTAAGGATTAACATTAATGTACATCATATGGGTATTAATGATATTATGATGATGTTAGCCATTACTCACATAAATATTAGGATTTCTTCAACTTTCAAACTCTAAATCATTACTTTTAATGTTAAATACCATTATTTCAATTTAGATCCGGATACCATAATAGAAACTTGCACTTGCAAAAACAATTAGCATTTAACATTGTCATTGCATGACATGTCTGTGAAAGTTACTACCCTTTTATATTTATTAATTAAATTTGAGAAGTGAAGTATTTTCTCAGATATTATTGCATGTTTGAATTTGTCAAGTTTAAGAGAATTGTTTAAATCCAACCCTATTCAATGCTAGACCACTTTAGCTCCTTTTGTTATTAACACACAATTACCTAACTAAAATTTTTGGACGGCAGTTATATATATGCATGTGATCATCATATGATTGGAGACTTGAAGTGTTACGATTGGTATACTAGTCTCAAGTTATATTCGCAATGGTTGCATAATCGAAGTAATGGATAAATGACGCATTTTTTTTTTTCTTAGTTCGGACTCACGCACACTGTCTCCACTGATGCTCGAATTTCTGACCTCCCTTTGAGAAGTAGGAGCCTGGTACCGCTAGGTCACATGCCTGTTAGTAAATGACACATTTATATTACCTAGCCTACAAAATTATCAATGAACTAAACATTAACAATGTAATTCAAGACTCCTATAATATATGAGTACATTCATTTGAATTAAATACCATATACTAGTAATATTTAATATGGGTGGAGTACAAAATTAATTTTGTATGGTTCCCATTGAGTTTATGTTGAGTGCAGAATTCATCCAACAATTGATTGAAAAAAAACAAGAAAAAAAGAAAGGGAATCAAGCAGTGAATAGTACAGGAGATCCCTTAGACTTGTCAAAGTCTTCATCCTTGTTGCCATCTCCCACATCGGAAACGTTTTGGTCCTCAGATCCATAAGCCCAACTGCAGAAAAGGAAATAGAAGAAATTGACGAAACACAAAATGCTGAGAATCCAGTAATAGTAGTCATAGTGACCCTTGTTTAGGTTATTGGACACCCAACTCTCATTCCCACCTCTCTTTGAAACATCATCCACAACACTCACTATCAGACTCGCTACCAAGTTCCCAAATGCCATCCCCAATGCAAAAAGAGCCACCGCAATGCTAGCCATGCTCTTAGGGCACTGAGAGTAGTAGAACTGAATCTGCCCAATTATGTTGAAAGCCTCAGCTAGGCCAGTCAAGCAATGCTGTGGCACTAGCCACATTGCCGACATATTCACCAGTTTCTCGGGGTGCTCTGCCAATCCTTCTTCGATGGCTCTACCTCTTCTGGTTCTCTCCACCAATGCTGACACTGCTGTGGCCACAATCGACAGGAATAGTCCGATCCCCATTCGTTGCTTGAGGCTGAGCCCACTAGGCCTATTCGTGTACTTCGATATCAATGGAACGATGACTCGATCGTAGATGGCCACCCACACTGTCAATGTGAGGATTGCAAACGCTGTAAAGGAGGCTGCGGGGATTTTGAAGTTTGAGATGAAGCGTCTGTCCATGGTGGTTGCTTGGAGCACGGGAAATGCGTGCTGGCTGATGGTCACCGCGGCCATGATGCCAGTGGACCAGATGGGTATCACCTTGATCAGTGCTTTGAGTTCTTCGACTTGCTGAATTGTGCATAGTTTCCATGGTTCTAATGCTGACCCATCAGAAGCCAAGTCTTTGTCTGGATTTCTAATGATGCAAGCTTTGTTTAGAAACCTGAAAGAGCCAAACAAATGAAAATGTGGTAAACCAGGTTAATTTTGTAACAACTAAAATTCCCGTTAGTGAGCACATTTTCTGTTTTATGCCATAAAGCTAGAATAATGTCATATCAAGAAACAAGGATCCTACCCTGTGCTGTTTTCATTCTGTATCTGTCCTATAACTCACGGGCGGCTCAATACATTACGAGGCTTTAGGCGAAAAAAATAAAGTGTCCTTTTAATTAAATCTATTTATATATTTATGCCAGCTAATTATTTGTTTAGTGATTTTTAAACTTATCATCAAAATTTTTTCAAACTCTAGTTTTATCGTTAATTAATTGGCTATGTGCTTTCTAATAATCATATTTAACAATATAAATAAAAAATATAAACAAAATATATAATTTTATGATAACAAAAATTAATAAAGCTATAAACTAATTTAAGTTATAGAATAATAAAAATTGATTTCGAATAATTTGGTCTAATCCTCTAATAAATTCTTTAATAGAATATAAGTATATTCAAAATCTTTTTCTAGAGTGAGATTGTAAGATTGTAAATTGTAATTGTGAAAAAAAAAAAAAAAATTATAATGAGAGAGGAGAAAAAATATGTGAGGAATAAAAAATAAAAATAAAAAAGAGAAAATAAAAATTAATAGGATTCTTAGAAAAATATAGAAAGTTTCACCAATTTTCACTTAAATATATATTTAATATTTAATTTTAATGTTTGTATATATATGCAGATGTAATGAGGATAAGAGAGAGAAAAAAAAAAACCAAAAGAAGATAATACAAGGATAGAAATATTTTGCGCACACTATTAAATTTTGTATTTGTTGAGATTTAATGATATAAGAAAATAAAATATTTAGGTAAGTTATAATGCATAAAGAAAAAAAAAATTTGGGGGCCCGCAAAAAAAAATAAAGAATAGAAATGTTTTAGGTTAACTGTCAAATTTCTCTATACGTTGAAGTTTAATAATTAAAGAAAATACTATAATTGTTTTAGGAAAGTTATAATATATACAGAAATAAAAAAAATTATGAGACCTTCTTATTGGCTGGGGCCTTAGGCAATCGCCTAACTCCCCTAAGGCTCGAGCCGGCCCTGCTATAACTTTACATCATTAACCCAACAATTTCACATCGCTAACATAACAACTTTACATCACTTATGCAACAACTACATTACATCCATGTATTAAAGTGTTGCATTTCGTGATATAGCTGTTGCATTATGTGTATTGCATTGCAATAAGTGCACAGGCTCCCCTATATAGGAGGGGATCCGGGACTTCCTCTGCCATTGGATTGAGAAACTGGGTAGCAAATTCACGATGTATTGTTAATGTTAAGGATGATATATATATATATATATATATATATATATATATATATATACCTTAGTTTGTATATATATATATGTATACCTTAGTTTGTCTGTTGGTGCAATAAGTTTTGATGTTTTCTTGTGATGATACCATCCGTCAGAACTTTTTGGTGGGAAAGCAAGGTGTCTGTTCTTCACAGCCACCACTGCAACTTGAGCAAAGCCAGTAAACAAGCTCTTGTTTGCCTTTACCTTAACATAAAGAGGTGAACCCAAAAAGAACAGAACAGCAGACATCAACATGAGGCCTACAGGGATTCCAAGACCCACAACCCAACCAGCCACAGTCTGAACATAGATTAGAACTGTCACTGAAATCATGACAGAAATCCCCACCGAAGCGTAGTACCAGTTGAAGAAGCTCTGCACGACCCTCTGATTTCCTGGCTTGTCTGGCTTGTAAAACTGATCTGCACCAAATGCTAAAGAACATGGCCTAATGCCACCAGCTCCAATGGACATGAGGGCAAATGATGTAAAGAGAAGCGCAAGCTGTGCTGGTTTTGGGTGCTCACATTTCTCTGAATATGTGTCGCAATGGGGAGGCCTTGCTTGTTGCAATAAGGCTGTTAACCACAGCATAAACATTCCCTATTTGAAGAATGTAATACAATTTAGTCTCATGGTTTTTCAAAAAAGTCTCGACAAAACGGAAACAATCTCTTTGCATATGGAGGTAAGACTGTGTACATCTAACGCTCTTAAATCATACCTCACACTGTTTTTTTAAAAAGCTTCTATTTAAAAATTGTTAGAAGATTTTTAATGGAAGGTTAGAGATTAGATTTTCTGCTTATACACTTGCTTGTAGTAAAGAAAATCCTTTCCTTTTCTTTTTTTAATCCATAGAATTGCTCAAGTTATACCTAAAGGTAAAGTGGAACTTTTACAGACCTACTGAAGTTCAATATCAAAATTCAGAATTTCAAGTACTATCTGAAAGTTGCTTCAGAGCACAAGATTTCTTCCCCTAATTTGACACCTTTTGTCTAAAGATACACATACATGTATAAAACTTTTTCTAGTTAAATAGTAAAAAAAGGCCAAATTTATAATGAAAATTTAAAGGAAGTTAGTGTTCTTACAAGTAGGGAAACAACTGATCCCAGTGCAATCACGCGGAACCGACCCAAGTAAGAATCAGAAAGAAAAGCCCCAAAGGTTGGCAAGAAATTTGTTATGGCTCCCCACAAGAACAAAATGCTAGCTCCAGTGGCATTATTCAAGTGATACTCATCTCTTAGATACAATATCATATTTACATGAAGTCCCACACTTGCAACCCTTTCAAATGCCTCGTTTGCTACACAAATGAAATAATAAAACTTTCTTATTTAGCTAGTTCCACACAACAATATACAACTAATTTGATCAAGAAGCTCTCGTATTTTGAAATCAATTTAATTATTATTTTTTTAAATTATCAACAACAGAACATAATCCTCATAATTTCAAAATACTAATCAGAACTTGAAATTCTAAAATTAGAACTTTGCATGTAATACAATCAGACATTACCTATCACAAAAGGCATGGTTCTAAGGCCTCCCTTTTTGCCAGAAAACTGTTCATCAGTGGACTTCTTTGGATCCGAAGATATCTCCATCCTTTCTTTTGTGATGAAATATGGCTTCAAACAATTTTTTTGAAGAGACCTAAGAAATGTAGTGATAGAGAAGGGATAGAGGGAAGGGGGAGGTTTGTTCAAACGATTAAAGGAGAAAACGAGGAGTATATACTATTTTTTTTGTCCTCTACCTGCAGTTTGGATTATGCGTTGCAACGACTATACTTTTGTATTGTGTTCTTTTTTATTTTTTAACATCCAAAAGGATCATGTGCATGGCTTCATGCCATGAACCAGATCATGTTATCACATACTTTATCATCTCAGCAAATGCTTTACTTTTTCAACAATGGAGCTTTATGCCTAAACACAATTTGGGAAATATTTTTTTGATGCTCTGATGCCAAATTTTATTGGTTAAAGTTCGAACTTTATTATTATGGAGGAAATTAGGTAATAAGACATTGCATGATACTTGGATTAATACTTATTGGGTTTTATGATACTTTCTGTTAGAATTTTTGAATGAAAATTATTTCATCATAAATCAGTAGACACCATGTGAATCATTGCAACCTATTGGAGCGAATGTGTCTATTGCTAAACAAACACCATGTGAACCATTGCAACCTACTGGAGTTGACGTGTCCAGTGATAAAGAAATACATATAAATAGTTGTCTAATAATGAAAAGACGCACCTAATCCAAAAAGGCACTCTATTTCTATAAATACGCCCTTGGGCTGCCATTTGCAAATCGTTCAGATTGTACCCAATTCAGTATTTATATATATAGTATAGATACATTTTTGAGTCAGAGATAGTATTACATAGAGGAGGTTTATCGTATCCACGAGTTTATAGTGTTGTCACAGAGTCCGTCAGCACCATGCGCGGCGTAAATTGTCTTAAGAATATAGTATCCAATACTAGCCTCGGTTTAGGTTATTTATTTATTATTATTATTTTATTGCTTTCATTTACTTGTTTAATTAAATATCGAGTTTGAATATTTAATTAACCTAGTTGAATATTTAATTAATTATTTTTTTAGCATATTATTAATTATCTCATGGCATATTACTATAATATTAGTTATATTTAAATGTCATTTGAAACATATATTTTACTAACACTTTCTGCAGCCTGTACAAGGAGAGACTCCCATAGGAACATATACATGAATACATTTCTAGATTTATTTGTGAATAATTGATGAATAATTCATCAATGGTATCATAATATGTAATTTATTGCCTTTGCGAATGGTAAGTGTTTCTGTTCTTAATTTTTATTTTATTTTATTTTTTTCAAAAAAAGCCGGCGATATGGTCTTTTACTGCACAAGGAATTGATGTCTAGAAAAATGGTATCTCTCTATATTCTGTGTGTTTGATTGCGATGAAACTAAGCTGTTTGTAGTTTCAGTGTGTGTTTGCCAAATGGAGGAAGCAAGCTTGAAGACAAGCGAAAAACCATTTTGGGTTGTTCCATGATTCTGATATCAACATTATGAAATAAGTACAACCATGTAATGATATAGTTAGCTATAACAGTTTTGATTTGAACAGTATCAAAAAAACTTGATGCTGCCATTTAAGGAGTATTGAATTAGGAGTCATATTCCTATTACTCAATTTGCTTGATCATCCATGCATCTGTCTTTTATATTATAAATTTGATTTGAGTTTTCCGACTAATTTGATAGTCGTTACTCAATTGTTCTTTCTGTTAAGGACATCGGGAACATGGCAGGAGGCAAATTCTTGTGACAATCAAACATCATTCACAATTAGAAGACAAGGAAATTGATTCTCCGTGACGATGCTAAAGGATGTCCTTGTCTCGAATTCTTCAGAATGATGGAAACTGATTCTGTCTGTAGTCAAATTTTCTTGTGATCAACCTGTCTGTGAATAGATCCTCTTAACTATATATAAATGCTTTATTAATCATATACGAGGCACTATTTTATTTATAGAAAGTGATATAAACTAATAGTTAATTTTCAGTATATATATATATATATATATATCATAAAGACATACATGTCTGGTAACATATTTTTCATTAATTGATTATACAGGTATCTTGGTGTCATTTAGCTTTGGGCAAATTACACAAACCACCCTTGAGGTTCCATCTCTTGCATTTGGATAGAAGTTATAGCAATATAACACAAAGGTACCGTTTGACCACGAGGTATCAATAGAAATTTACATTTTTGACTTTAAGATTAAAATATTTGTTTTTAATAAAAAAAATAAAAAGATATTGGGTATTGGCAAGTTTCATTTTTGCCCCTCTATTTCAAGTCTCTTTACCTCTCTCTGCAACACAACCGACACCATTGGCAGGCAGAAGATACAATACTCACATATGGATTCTACCATATGACCTTGGGGCATCTCTGGCTCTATGTTGTCCTCGTTATCTGTGGCACAAAAGTGCTTTGAAACACCCTACTGTACAACAGTGAAAGGAAGGGAGGCATATTGGATTCATTTAGATCATTGCTACAATGGAAATAGAAAAATGATCAATTCCATGACAGATCAATTTTCAATTAATTGTGAAGTGAAAAGGCATCGGCAAAAGGAACAACAGACAGGAGCAAACTGTGATTTAGAGTAAGAGTGGAGGCAGATTGGGAAAGGATTAGGTAGAAAGGGGGTTCACCAGGGGTACTACGGTAAGCAAGGAGTCATTCTATTATGTGATTAGATCAGCAGGAGCCAAGCTAACTAGGTAGGTGGAGCTATTGATGGTGACGGGGTGAGTTGTTCTTTTTCCAGTGCTAGTCTTGCTTCTTTGTTTTCTTCAAATTCGTGATTTAGCTTTGAATATATTTGGACATAGAATCGAAATATTTCAAGTGTTTGGTGTTGAAGGTAGTTCTTAATAGGACGAGGAGACTGTTCCACGTAAACCAAGGAATCTGAGATCAGTATCCGAGTGGAGATTCAAGTAACACAAGGGATTCTCTGAGTACAAAGATTAAGAGAGGGAAGGCTGACCTCGGTATCTCGTAAACTCGAGCTTAACAGTAAGCAGTAGTTAATGTGGTGGTTGTTATTGTTTTAAAGGCTAATTAACACCCTTATTTATAGTGTTTGCCTCCTCGGTCAATATCTTTTGGTCTTTCGGGTGAGCTCACTCTTACTCAAAGGTTTATGGGTCACTCCTCCTGACGGATGGGACCTTGATGGATAAGCCGCGGCGCTTTACCTCCCGGTCAAAGGAGATAATGGTGCTCCTTAATTAATGCAGGTCTTATTAGACATCATTCGCAATCAATGCACTCTTTATCTCGCCTTGCCCGAGCTTGAGAACCGAGTATCCTTTTCCCCTTTTGTTGGCCTCGGACTAAGGCGACACCTTGGATCTCAACCACTTGTCCACATGCCCTCAGATTCCCGAGTTCCAGAAGGGAGAAAGCCCTCCTCAAGGTTCTGCCTTCGTGACCTCGTAGGGCTCTGTCCCAATTTGATATTTTCAGGGTTCCTACTCCCCAAGGAAAGAGGGGAATCGTAAAACAAGTCAGTCGAGGTTGCTCTTTCAGGAGGCAAACTCAGAGAAGCAGAGGGAAGGAGCCCATCCAACTGGAGCGGGGCACGTCCAAGGGAGAGGAAGGGTAGCGACCCCTTCCTCGATCAGCAAGTCCAGTTAGTGGATGAGTAGCTCGAGGATACCCAATCCCATTATGGTAAGTACTGGCCAGGTGTGCCTATTTTTGCTGAGGCGGCACCACCTAAACAACTGTCGTGGCGCGGTCATCAATGCCTATTTTTGTCGAGGTGGTGCCACTTAGGTAGCTATCGTGGCGCAGTCATCAACATTTGGTAAGCTTCTTCCTTTGTCGGGACACCTTCTAAGAGCTGCTTTGTGGTTTTTGCAATTTGGTTTTGGTGTTGTGCTGGTGATGGATGTTTTGGGTGGGTTTGGTGGTGGTTGCACTTGGCGATGATGTGGCAGGGAAGTGGATTGCACTAGTGGGGAAAGGAGGAGGAATCCCTTGCTTGTGGGTGTAGAAGGTTATTTTGTCAAAATATAGATAGTAATTTCGATCGGTTTAATAATTGAGTCCTCTTGGATATTTTGGTCCAAATATTTTTTTACCCCTTCACTTAGTTTAACGTTCAAACTTATATGTCAAGTCAATAAAACCAGAAGGGTAGTTAACCAATTTATCGCGCCAACTTCTATCCAAATGTAAGAGATGGAAACCCGAGGGTGGTTTGTGGTTTGTGTAATTTGCCATTTGGCTTTTATGTTATATATGCAACATGTTTCCTCTAACATAAAGGAAGCAAAGTTGCAACAATATACACTGATAAATTTTATAATTTTGAACTTTATCAGCTATTCAGGTTACCCAATTCAAATAAGAGCCAACCCTTAGATTTAAAATCATTTTTTTTTTTTTGTACTTTGTAAAATATCAGATTTCGTATTTTTAGTATTCTAGGAGTTAATATGTGCTCTTCTTTTTCAGGTATTTATAATTAGGAATTTTTAGTTTCATCGTATCTGAATGAAAGGAAAAGGTTATCATTTTTAAGTTTGATCTATAATTTTTCAAGAATAACTCTCAAATGTAGATGCTTATTCCTAAAGCCCCAAAGATCATCAATTGTCGTTTCCAAGTTCTCAATTGTTGATCCAAAAGTGCATGAACTACTACATTTGTTACAAATCGGATCCAAATTTAATAATATCGTTCACATAGTACTAAAGCATCAAAACCAATGCGACTAATGGAAATCCAAGGTTCATTGAAAAATAGAAATTGAAAGTTTAGTAAAAAGTACCACCAATGGTTAGTTCAAATCAGAGAAGGTACCTTTCCAGACAGAATAGGATGGTATGATTATAGCAAGGCGATGAATTTAATTACAACATCAACTGAATTCTGAGCTGCCAATGAGGCAAAGATGCCGGCTTCATTGGACAACGAAGAACCCCCACCAGCTAAATCAGAGAGAGCTCGTATTGCAATGAAAGGCGTCTTTTGTTGGTGACAGACAAGAGCCACTGCAGCACTTTCCATGTCAATCGCTGTCGCGTTGAACTTGGAATACAAGAATTCTCTATATGCACCATTGTCAACAAATACATTAGCACTTATCCCCCTTTCAACCCTAATCACCTTAGGTGTTCTTGGCAAACAAGTTGCATTGACACATCCTCCCAACTTCACATCCTATACACAAAAGGAAACAAAATTCACAAAATAACTGAAAAATTGTTTCCACTGAAGTGCATTAGCGAGAAATGAAAATGAAATGAAGTCCAAATTATATTGGAGGAGAGACTAGATTACCTCAAGTTTTTTCGCGAGTGAATAGTAGTGGTTGCTGACAGGTACCCAGAAGGCGTTCTGCCTGACTTCAGGAATTCCATTTACCGGAAAAATCTCTTCTGGTTGATACCAAACGCGGTTCAGAAGGTTATCCGAGGAATTCCCTTTTTCTGTGCCATTGTTGTACTTGGAAAACTTAAGGTTACCAATTTTCCTAGTATAGTCACCATTAGATTCTAAGGCTAGTTCATCAGAAGGCCCATCTCCATACCTCTGCTCATATTTGAAGTAAAATGAAAAAGAAAAAAAGGTCAATAACTTATTAATTTGATGTTCTTGTGGGCAGAAAATATATTTATGAAAAAGAACATTTGGTGGATTTAAATTGGTTTAAGTGCCCTGTTTAACCATCTAGAAAAAGATGGAGTAATTAATGTGCTTTTGAAGGCATTTTACGCAATTTTTTGGACCACACATTCTAAGTTACAACAAGAAACAATTTAAGTGCTACAAATGCTTCTAAAAGAGAAAAAGGAAGAGTCATATTGCACGTGTTGTAGAATTTTATATCTATCATTACCCAAACTATAACCTCTTATTATTTCCTCTTCCTTTCATTTATCTCTTTTAGAAGTAAAAGGACAACCCAAATGGTCAATTAAATGTTATTAATTGGATTTGCTTTCAAACACAATTTTAGAAAAACCTCTTTCCTATTTGATTGATATATCAGATTTCACAGAACTACTTGCAAGCTTGAACCACCTTGTAAGTTGTACAATCACTTTCAAAACTATATATCTGAAGAAAGCAACAACACTAAGCATCTGATTTGTAATGCTTCACTTGGTTACAAAGAAGATGGACAAAAGGAACATCAAACTACTTCAAGATTCTTCATTTTGTTTTCTTTTCCACCATCTCTAACAACAAGAAAGAACACAAACACGCACACAGATATATACACAAAAAAAAAAAAAAAAATAAATAAATAAAAAAATTAGTACCTGCCAATTCCAAAGGCCGGTATGAGCCCAGTATTGAGGGATGGTAACGTCTCCGATTTGGAGTTGAGGATTTGCATTCCCTGCAATCCCAAAGTGCAGAACACCTTTGACCTTGAACAGGCTTAATAGTAATTGTGTGGCTATACCTGTATTAAGCTATATAACATGTATTTCATTTCAGGATACCTCCAATATATACCAGTTTCATGATAAAGAAAGCATAATGATATATATGGAAGGAAATAAAGCATGTTATGGGACATACCATGCTCAAACCTGTCATCACAATAATAACCTTTTGCTTTTCCAATTCCCCTATTCTAAACCTTCTTCCTGTGAAACAAAAAAAAAAAAACAAACAAAAAATCAAAGGGATTTCTTTTAGAACCAAAATCTGGAATCCTTTGATCCAAAAAATTGTGAATGTTCATAGATATATTGTTCTTGGGTTAAGCATCAAAATGAGAAAATAAATGTCCAATAATTTGAAGAAAGTGACATAGATTGATAAAGTGAAAAATTGTCATGGAACCCCTCGGAAGTCAAAACACAAACATATAGAAGTAGAGATCATGCCCATTATTGCTTTGAAGAATCATATTCATGTCAAACCTAGTATGGCGCCATAAAGCACATTAAACAACCTTAAAAAAATATAATTTTGTACTAAAATAATAAAATAATGGACAAATACGGTCATGAATATTAAATGAGAAAATAGGAATTTGAGTAGCACCAAAAGCTAATAAATTTTTAAAAATGGACCAACTTTTTCTTTATCAAAATTCCCATATTTACAATTGAATATGAACAGCTCAAAATTTATATGTGATTTCATATTCCATGGTATTCACCCAGTACAATTTCAGCATATATATATATATATATTGACATACCTGAAAAATCTAAGTAAGGAAGCTTGTGAGAAGGCACAAAGCTTGGAGATTGAAGAAGAGGGTTCATCTCAAAGCTGTTTGGCACTACAATGCCCAAGTATGGACCCTGCTTATTTATTCTACTCATCTTTTCCATTACACTTTGAGAAACTGCACCATTTGATGAACTCATAAAGCCCAACACCAAAACAACAAATGTCAATAACACTATCCTCATATGGCTAACCATTTTTTTTTTTTTTTCTTTTCTTTTTCTCTCTCAAAACTCAATGAGTTCGGAAAAACTTCAATAATTGTGGAGAAGTTAGAGAGAGAGAGAGAGGGAGAGGGAAATTAAAGTCAATAAACGTGAAACCTAACAGAGAAAAAACATCAAATTGATGATGGTATTTGATACGTGAATGTGTTGTTATTGAAAAGCATATATATAATTTGGCACTCCCATGAACAGAGAAAAGTCAGAAGCTAGAATACTGGGAAGCGCTTTGATTGTCGAGAAGTCAAAACTTCGAGGCAGCCAAAAATTAAGATCTGATTCAGTTATGAATCTTCACTCTTATCCACACGTGGCATAAAAATATTGGGCTTAACATGAAGAGCCAATATGATCGTTATATTAGCTGTTTCCATTGCCAGCGCATTTTGAGAGGGTGGACTGGGACTCGATGGCCCAACATTCATCCAGTACCTATTTTTATGTGGTATTTGCGTATGGTTGGATCGGTGGTAACACATTAGGTTTGGGTTTAGTTTAATCGTATTCTGGTGTTTGTTTTTATCGGTCAGCTTATTTATAATTTAATTAGTCTGTTTAACTGAGTATGGAAGAAAAAATCATGTTTTTATTAGAATTGACTCGTTTAGTTAAACATGCTGAATAAACATGTAATATTTGTATAAAAAATAACTTCAATGCGTCTTGTCTTGTTTCGTGTAATGTAATCTTGACTAATATATTGAACAAATTACGTGTATCGTTTCGTGTTATATGTGTAATAATTATGTTCTATTTGTTTGTATCAAGATTTTTTAACACAAATAATAATTGTGCCTTGTTCGTGTCAAGATTTTTTTATAAAAATAATAATAATTTTATATTCGTGTCGACTTATATGATATTTATGTCTTAACATGAAATGGACGCGACCCACTACACAAATTAACACCTTTATTTAATATAAACTTTGCTTAATCTCTTTAATAGTTATGCAGTAATAAACAAAACTTTCACCTTATATTTTTTAAAGTTAGGATTTCAAATAACATTACAGCCAAATTTAGATTAAAAAAAGGGGGGGTAATTATACTAGGCATATAAAATGAAAGGATGGTATGTTTTTTTTTTTAGTCTGGCAATAAGAGAACAGCCATACGGCATCTACACAGCACATTCATAAAGGACAGTACAGATGCAACAAAGACAAGCCATAAAAGACATACAAATCATGAAGCAATAATAAGAAAAATGAAGACCAAACTTTAGATTTGCTGAGAAGAACAACGGAAACCATCAGATGAGACGAGCAGTAACGGGAGTGACACACTGGTCAGGTCATCAGTAAGGCAACTGCTCCAAGACTACGTTCACAAGGCGCCTCCGACATGTGATAAAACCACCCACCCAAACCCACAAAAACGGACACAAATCTGAGATTGAGCCGGAGACAGCAAAAATTGAAAGGAAGATATGTATTGGGTGGCGAATTGTAAATTAATTACAATTACAATCACAATGGTGACCCCGCAATAGTGAGTTGAGGTGAAGGTTTTTGGATTCATGTAATGTGAAAACTAAAGAGAAAAACATCAAATTTGTTCAAATGGTATTTGATACGGAAATGCGTTGCTATTGAAAAGCTTGGCCACACCCATGAACTAAGAAAAGTCAAAAACTAGAATATGAAAGGGCTTTGATCGTAGACAAGTCAAAACTTCAAACTTGTACTAGTAGTTCATTGGACTATAGGAGTATATATATTTACAAATGAATGCACATGTACCCTTTTCCTAACTTATATCCGGCACTTGCACATTTCAATTCAAACTTCATTTGCACCATAAGTTAGCAATATGTAAAACTAATATGCATAGTTGACCGCTATGCATTAATTGCTTTAAACTTATAGACACGTGACACATTTTAAAAGATTGAGTAACTAGTTTGGTATAATCATATCACTTAAAAATTTAAATTATTAGGTATTAGTAACACTCAGTCTGTATATACTTAATCACTATCTCTTTTGGATTTGGTGTGGGATAATCTCCCCTTGTTATATTCTCTCTCACCAAATTCGTAACGCCCTTATTGCAGTCGAACCAGCTTGTTTACTTGGATGGCACACCCTAACGCTTTCGGACCAGACGCTTAGCCTAACACTGTATTAATAATTGAGTTTGACTCTAATACTTACGATGATAAATGAGTATTTCGCAGTCCAACTCAGAAACTTAAACTTGGCTAATACAAGCTCCCCTCTGCTATACTTGTTCAGACTACTACTCCTGTTGATTCTAGCTGTTTTATTATCATAGTTGCTTCAAGTGGACTCTGACTTTTTTACCTAAAAAACAAAAAAAGTGGACTCCGACTTGTCGGCACACTAGAAATAAGTGAGCGATAAAAAATGGGATAATCCAGATTGGGCTTTAAAAAACCCAATCCAGTTCTAAGGACTTATTCTGGGCCAAGAAACCCATCTGCCCGCTTTTCGGCCCAATTAACTATTTAGTTCAACTCGGCATGGTCACCTCAAACCTGGTCGGTCTAGCTAAAAGTTCTATACATACAACAACATAGCCTAATTGCACTAGGTTATTTATATGTATACATATATACATATAGAGAGAGATTCATAAATTTATTACAAAAATAGTTTTTTGGTAATAATTGTGTGACATGTATAATACATAATTAGAGTTAATTACAAAAGTTTTTGTCCTTTGGTTTTATTTCGAAGGTTATTCTTGATCTTTTACGACATGATTTTGTTTCTTACCTCATAAAATGCATTGCTTATACTTGTATAACTTGTTCTTATTTTTGGGCATAGAGCCTACCCAGCTCGGACTCAGATCTGATGTCACTTGTAAAAGGTTGGGGATTTGTTCTCTGATTTGTAAATTATTAGGAAGTGTTAAATATATATATATATATATATATATATATATATATATATATATATATATATGATATACTCCCTCATATAAGTTTACGACCTTCTTCCATCCCATATATAACAAGACCTTTAACAACTAACTACTGGACCATTGCCATTGGTCCACATTTAGAACAGTTTGTGTATGTATTGTGGAGTTTAATTCCATTGTATATATTTTTTTAGTGTTATGACTTTGTTCATTATAATCACTTGAAGGTTTTGGAAGGTTGAAATCTATTAATTGGTGTCTATTTTGGCTATTGACACGTTTGAAAGGGTTGAGGGTTTATTGAACCGGTTCATCAGGAGTTGCAAAATTTAACTTTGTTAGTGTCAATGTTGAACCGATTCAGGGGATATGATTTGGAGAGAAGAGAGGTGTGAGATTATCATAAATGTTGTATGATTAAATTAATTTATACCAACATAAGAGAGAGCAATTGAGAGAGATTGAGAAAAAAAATTCTCCATTGTAATTCTTCATCTTTCTTTATAGTGGAATTTGTTCGGTGCCCTTCATAGACGTAACCCTAATCTTTGAGTGAATCATGTATATATTATATTCTTGTGTGTGATTATTTTATTATTCTTCATAATATTTATTTCTCAAACAACGTTGTTTATCTATAGTAGATTTTTGCCTTAACATTTAGTTATTTGGTTTAATTTATTGAACCATCCGTGAGAATAGTGTAAATAAATGGCCTCTAAATTAATATTAGTACAAGTTAATTAAGAGTGACTTTAGAAAACAAAAGTAATGATAAGAGGAAACTGTGAACCCGTGCGCACATGTACATGACAGATTGACAACAAATGACATCATGTCCACACAAAAAATTGTCAAAGGTGATGACACCTCAAATATATATGGCAAACATATACAATATTAAGATTAAGATAGATTGTGGAGTGGACGTTGGATTAATTGGCCCGTCTGAGGTTTAATTTGTGCCCCTGAAATGATTCTTGAATTGCCCTTTGGGGTAGACATCAAATGACACTCCCCTCTCTTTTCTTATTGGAATCTACCATCAAATACAAACACCAGTCTTGTCAATATGTTCTTTGTGGAATTCTAGTCAAGCAATTGGAAAGAAAAAGAATCTTCAAAGCAAACCAAAGCTTCTACATTATTTCTTCAACTCTGAAAATGCATCACATATATACATACCATTTGTACACACTATATGTAATAGTATAACATATAATTTGAAAATTCAACCAATGAGACCTTGATTTAGCGATATCATATTCCTACTTTTGAAAGGGAGGTTAGGGATTTGACCCTTTGCTCTGAACGTACGTAAGGTGTGCGAGTATCTTTGAGAGGAGTAGAAATTTGGTGTCAGTTATACCACGTCATTGATATATACACCTACTTAATGAAAATATACCATTCAAACTAAATTGATCCAACTTAAATGGGAAAATCTATTACATAGTTGACTTGGGTTGGTTAGAAATTTTCAACATATATAACCTTAATCTGGGTTGAGCTAGGATAAAAATGTAGGTCACTTGAGTCCAACTTGAACCCAACTTAACTTATTTCTTATGATAGTATCATTATTCAAATACTAGTATTGATAAGCTCAAATTTAAGGGCAAAAACTCTTACCTCGGGAATTAAGAGTTCGAATTCCTATAGGATTATCCTCAGGAAATTTTCCTGATAACCAATCCAACTCACACAATACGAACACACCCACACACTATACTGTTTCAGGTGGGTTTTGAACCTTTGACCAACCTTTTCGAAAAAGAGAGGACCAATGGTAAAAGCAATGGTACTACTTTAAACCCTTTAATTTGAAGAAGCTATGTAGATAAGGCTACCTTTTTTTCTTAATAATATATTGATTCCAAAAGTTAGATTAATTAATCCTCTTGTTATGCAATTCTTCGTCAATCCATGAAGCTCAATTCCAAGTGCTAAACAACTTGAAGAAATGGTAATGATGTTGAGAAGAGAATATAGTGATGCTAATCATAATTAATCAGATTGGTTCAACAAGAAATTAGATAAGAGCACTGCCTAGGCAGCACTTAAAATGATCAATCTTACTAGAGCGGCATATACATGAAAACATTGTACTAGCCGATAAAACGAAGAATAAAGATAATTAATAAGCTTAACATGAAATTAAAGATAGTCTTGAGGACTAGAAACCCAAGTTACAGCACACTTAGTTCCAACCATGAAAGCATAGCATCATGAGCAATCAGCCTTGGAATTTTAGCAGAGTGACTGCTCATGATGTTATATCATTTCATGAAATCTCTAACCGTGCCGTGACCATGCCTGCCAACATATCTCATCAATGGATCTATCGTAAACCACCACCGATAGCAGGAGGAGCCCAGTAATCTGCTCCATTGTCACTCCCAACTTGAAGTGTGCATGATAATGGAACTAGGCACAATCCTCTACTCCTTAAGTCCTTTGGTTCTTCATGAAAATCCTAACAATTTTTAGAAAGAAAAAATAAAATAAAATATAGTCTGATTTCTTCAATAAATATAGAAATTTGTTGTACACAAATGTTACAAGAGCTAATAATTTTTGAAAAAAGATTAAAAGAAAATACCTGCTGCTCAGAAGCTCCTTTTCTCTTCATGCAGTTGTCATTTAACAGCTATATGATAAATACAATTACAAAGAAAAAAGAATTAGCAATTATAATACTTTGTAGTCCCCTTTATGATTCAAATGCAACTTAAATAGTCCCCAACAATTCTTTTATTAAATTTAATTATTAGTTAAAGTCTGTAAAGCTGAAAATTTGAGCTTTTAACAGTTTTCTTTTCAGAAGAGAGAAACATGAAGTAAATTGATGGGGGGTTTTTAAATGCAGGCTTCTCTACTTGGCTTTGAGGAGGTAATGGATCCAATAAAGCTTACCTGACCAGGGTCTTCAGGAAATAAACAATTCCTCTCCCCTTGAACCTAAAAGTAAATTAATTACAGTAGTTAATCAGTACTTAATGCCACATAATTGACACACACACACACACACATAATGCATGGATGTGTGATGTGTGTGTGTGTATGTGAGAGAGAGAGAGAGAGAGAGTTTCTTACAGGCTGTTGCTGCCTCATGTTTGGTGATCCACTGCCCAAGTACGGTAAGCTAAGGGCCTGCATTCAAGGGGGAGAAGATAAGGAATAAGTTTAAGGGAAGACGGAGATCCAAATGGAACTTTATAGCTATATGTGCATGTCATCACTGGTTTATGTTAGTTTGCAAAATAAAAGAATAGCAAGAAACATCACCTCGACTTGATTCTGAAGGAATCTAATGTACCCAATAGCTTCTGACAGCACAGAAGCTGTGTCAGTCTGCAAGAGAGAGAGAGAGAGAGAAGGCCTCCAAATTAATTAGTCATGCTTCATGTCTTGGAGATTAGAAAACCCTAGATATAAAAATTTGAAGAATGAAGAAAGAGAACTATCATCTTTGTAAAGAGAGTCTTTGTGGGGTTCCCTCATAAACAAGTACTAATATATATGCATTATTTCACAATTATATATATGCTCAATCTAAGCCATGAGACTTACCTTCCCAAAAGGGGAAACTAGCTGGTGAAGAGCTGTTATTCTATCACCTAATTTCTCCTTCCTCACCTGGTTAGAAATTATAAATACAAAATCAAGAATAATTAGATTGATAGATGTGGACTCGATCGATTGCAATAATTGGTTCACTTTCTATCTTATTGATGGATTTATTTTCCCCTTGTTGTATGGTTGAGATAGAAGAATCATAAACTTGAAGAAATGGACAATCAAGAAAGACAACAGTTATCTTCCAAACATGGGAGAGAGAGAGAGGGAGATAGTGAGCTGTACGTGTTCAATACCTTGAAAGTAGATTGGGTCGAAGAAGGTTGAACCCTAGCTTTCTTAAGTGCCCCACCAGTGGGGGTGCTGTTGCACTACAGAAGAAAGAATAGGAGAAGATAATCATCAAGAACCCTAATTATTGGCTTTGAAAAAAAAAAAAAAAAAAAATCTAACTAGACAAAAGAACAGTATTTCTAAGATATATCTAAAGGAGTTAAATGATATCTCAATAGAAATTAGTATTAGTTTAATAAATTTTACACTAGACTTAAGCCCACATGGTGAACATCTTAAAAATTGATTCTCCAAACGCTAGAAATTGAAGCATTTTCTTACCTCCGAGGTACGATCTAGCGGTGGATGCTTCCTGTCTACCTTGTTTGAAAAATCCAGTATGTTAGTGCTTAAAGTAGCACTTGTGACACAAGACTTGTTTGGAGATGAAGCTGGAGCTGGAATCATCTGAGACCAAGTAGGTTTTGGTGCCTGATATTCCACTTGACTATGTTCATGACCATACCCATAGCTGCTAGCTGAGCTCTCTTGCTTTACATCTACAATATTAGCCGTCTGGCCGTGCAATATCTGATCTTCCCAATTCTCCAACCTCTTAGCTTGAAAATGGCTCAACCCACCCTTTTCTTCTTGATCACTCACCAATCGACCCCTACAAAACAATATCATAATCACATAACAACAACAATCGACCTTTTTTCCAACTACTACATGAATCTTATATTTTCATTGCCATAGCCTCACTCAAACAAAATAGCTTATAACGTACGGGACACAAATAGCTATATATGTATAGGAACACATGTATTGAGATATAGAGAGAGATTTACAAGAGGAGTTGGCTCCATGACTCCGGAAGCTGATCTTGATTATTGCTGTCAAACCAAGTAGAGGATGGTGATGACAAAGGAAGTGAAGAAGGAGGAGGTATGTAAAGGTGAGGTGGTAAGAGATTGGAAGGGGGGGGTTGTTGTGGTAGAGGTGGCCTCATGCTATTGATCATGTTCCACCAGTTAGGACTTCCGACCATCATTTGTTGAACCGGCGAGCTCTGCAACACACCTGATCTATTCATTTCTTTTTCCTTCTCACCAAACAAACAACACAACAAAACAATCTGATATTTTCTCTAGCTATAGCTAGCTAAGCTTGTTTTTCTTTCACTTTCACTCACTTTGTACTCTCTCTAGCTCTCTCTTTTCTCTTGTACTATTTTTCTCTTTAATGAATGAAAGCTCTCAAACGGGTCTTTGTAGAAACTTTGGGAGGTCTTCTTGCTCTTGATTAAGTAGAGCTTGTTTTAGAGTGAGAGAGAGAGAGAGAGAGAGAGAGAGAGAGAGAGAGAGAGAGAAATTTGAATCATGGGGCTTGAGAACCTTTTGTCTTTCTTTCTCTTCTTTCTTTATTATCATCCCTTTTTCTTTTCTTTAATTTATGTTTTTCTTTTTCTATCATTGCTTTTTCTCCTGCTTTTACTTTTTCTCAAAGCGGGGGCAGAAAAAAAAAGGTGCTTGCAATTCTCATTTTTAATTTGAAAAGCTAAGCGCAAAAAAAAAAAAAAAAAAAAAAAAAAAAAAAAAAAAGATCTCGCTATAGTGACTATGAGTGCACCATATTTCCTTGCATCATGCTACGTGGCATGCTTGCAAGACAGCTTCATTCTACAAAAACCATTACAACATTGCGTGTGTGTGTGTATATATATATATATGTGTGTAATATGTTTGTGCTATATACTTATATATCATGAACCATGCATACGGGAAAGAAAAAAAAATGGCTGAGAGGGTTTAAATTAAGTTATCAATTAAAAGTGATTCGAAATTAAGGAATCTTCATTATCCATTGAATAAGAAGAAAGAACTCAAAATTAAATTAAACTGATCAAAGCTTTGGACTTTGATTTAGTAACTAAGGTACAAAAACTTGATACAATTTGAGCGTCACATATTTCTTAAAAAAAATTGATACAGCATCTAAAAGTTCAAAGTATTTGATTGTTTTACGTGTGTGAAAATAACATTCTCACCAACAATTTTGGGATGCACTGTCAAGACTTACAAATATATATATATATATGTGTGTGTGTGTGTGTGTGTGTGTGTGTGTGAGATTGTAAATTCTGTAGTTTCTTGCGTATTGATGACATCAGGTGACATACATTTCCTTCCTAGATATTACGTAGTTGATGATCCGGATTCCGGATTTGTTATTGCAGGGTAGAAACTCAAAATTCTGACAACTTTGTAACATATATATATAATTAAGGGAAATATTGTTGCTTTGCACCACTGACAGACTCACCAAGTTCTTGGTCAGTAAGCCTTATAATTTTTGGGAGGAATGTGAGTGGTTTCATAATGATGATAAACTATTTCACTTTGCTTTTTCTGTATTTTGTAATGATATGGATTTTTACTTGTGGCACTGAGATGTTTAGCAAAGCTCCTAGCTAGGTATGAGTAGTAGGGAACAATTTGGAGCAGATTCATGTTAATCCAAATTCGAATTCATATCTCTAATGTTAGAATTCATATCCAATCCGATATTGTAAACACCCATATATTTTTATGGGAAAAGATCGTCATTTTGAGAGTTTTTTTGTTGTATTATGCAAGACTCAATTGTACCGTACGGTACAGATTTAGGCACATCATCAAATATATATTTTATAAAATTTGAGAGTGCAAGTTAAATATAATCATAAGAGGATGACTTGATTGTGGTGAACTAGTGGGACGTCCACATTGTCAATTATAAAAGAAGAAAGTGTAAAGTGGACAATATGTATACTGGTTGAATGGTAATAATTAGAATATGATATAATTATTTAGCATTTTTTATATCCTAGAATCTTACAAAATAATGAAATTCGAATAATAAAAAAGAATAAGAAACACAAATCAAATTCAAATTTTGAAAAATATCATTATTTATTTATTTATTTATTGGGAACTTGGACTATTGATCTTCAATTTTGAAAGATGAAAAAATATCACTAAATTATAGCACGTTTATAAATAATATTCCTAAGATAGTCACCACAATTTTGTTTGAAAAATAAAAGACATTTGGATAAGAAATTAAGATGCCATTAATTTTGTCATTGATATAGTAAATCACAATGCAAATAAAACCTGTGAATTCAGATTCTTGGTATTTACAGAGTGCAAAACAAAAGCTGTGCAAAGGGCATACCCTCTGTTACCCAATATATATATATATATAAAAGTATATATAATACTCCTTCCTATATACGCTGTTTACAGGTCTTGAGTTACAGTCATTTTACTTGGTGACTTTTCAAAGAACCATCCATTTTACCGACTTGTCATTGTGTGATACTCTTTACTCTGTTTCGTTGTTTTTATTTTTTTTGGTAAGTCTCTGTTTCGTTTTTTTTTCAAACATATTTGAATTTATCTACTAACTATGAGTTGTGTTGACATACCAATGCTTCAATCCTGACCACCCATTATGCTGACTCTCTAGATTTGGTTAGAGATTTACATTTGTTTAATTTCGTTTCCTTTCTAATTTCAATGGCATTGACAGTTAGCTCTGGTTAAGAAAGTTAATGGTCATATAAATATTTTAATCAAGCAAATAAAGGTTACCCCACCTACCAATAAATTCACATAAAAAATCTCCCCGGATATATAATCAAGTGTAAATACTATACACGTGTATATACAGAAATATATGTTAAAATGACAAACATGAAGTTGAAATAAATAAAGTAATTGATATAGGCTTAGAAATATTGATGATCCATCATACGATGGCCCTTTTTTTCCAAGTAAATACCGACAACGGTTGTCCACTTTTTTTTCTAAAATTATTTTTATTTTATTTATTTATTAATATTTTTGGTTGTCCTCATAAACAATCAGTTTTTTGGCATATGCTAACATAATAAAATGTTACTACTTACAATATTGTAAGCTTCTTGTAACATGTGTGATTAATCCGTGAAGGTACAGAGAATGGAATGACAGTAGACACAATTTTCTAGGGGTCAAAATCTAGGGTTTGGAAACCCTAACCCTAGCTAGCGAAGAGAATGATTACAATTACCAAGATAATACTGTTTTACTTATCCTCATATATATATACATGTATATTTGTAATTAAAAACTCGCTTTAGTTTATTATGAAAGCTTGACTCTTATATGTGCAAAACCGAAACTGTCCTCCTCCATGACACATAATATAATTCTTGAAAGGGTATTGTTGTCTTTGTAAAACAGAATTACAGGAACAATAATTTAATCATATAATATAATAAGTGAAATACATATTATATAATAGAATTATTCTTCTGGGTAGCATTCTTTATGAAATCTCCACAACTTAGATTCCCTCTAATTCTAGTAGTATTTAACTATACCAACAACCAAACAAACCTACCCTTAAATCGTGAGCCAAGCTTGTGTGAATTGAGACATAAGGGTATTATTTTTGGGGTTGTGTGAGTTTTTAAGGGTAGGAATGGGATGTCTGGTCCGTACTGCTCAAATCTTTGTCTGGGGCTCCCTGTCTTTTTCTTAACACAACCATTTATTCTTTTATTCTTTTATATTAATTAATATATTTTATAAATTTTCTTGTCCAGACTCACCCATCTTATACCAAGAAACAAACTCCATCTCATTGTCTTTACTCTCTCCCTTCTATTCCCCTCCATTTTGTATGTACATACATGCAGGGCAGTGCTGTAATTAGTTTATATGTATGTATATGTTTATGTGACAACAAAGGTCGCTTTTGATGGATGATGTGTGAAAACTCTGTGTGATGATTTAACGATAAAGGGGTAATTTCTCTTGAGTTTGGTCAAATATTATCTTAAAATATCTTTCATAAAATATTATTACCTACATTCCAAATTACTTTTTTGTTATTAATAATGGGTGTGAAATGACATTTTAATTCTCATTTTTTTAATGCCTTTATTTTAAAACTTATAAAGACAGAAATTACCCCCATCTTCTTCATCCTTACCCTCACTCACACATCCAATATTCCATTGCCAGATGAGTCAACCTTTCAGCTAATCTAATATGTTAAGAAAAAATCAAATCAACACAACAAGTATACAACAATCAACAATTCACACAGATTAATCAAATACATTTTAGAAAAAGAAGAGAAATCCGGCCATTAATGAAAACCAGACTACATAATAAAAAAGAATGATAGAGACAGAAGATTGAAAGCAAAATTTACAGATTTATAGTTAAGAACAGTAGTAGGATTAAACTCCAAGAATGATAGAGAAATAATCAACTTGAACAAGGATATTTCTCCTTGGCCACTGCCAAGTTCACCGCACGCCGCCGCGTCCTTTCTCCTCTACTACACCCTCAAACACTCTGTACATATATATATATATATATACTGTATCTCTCAAATCCCCAGTCCAAAACTCCATAATCCTTTGTTCCTTCACAACCCTTGAACACCCACAGTAAAACTCAAAATTCAAATCCCAAATTGTTTGATATTTTTCATCAATTTTCTTGGTTGTTTCTTGTTTTTTCCCTTTATTTTTTCATTTTCTCTCAGGGTTAGAGCACGACGGCAGTGGTGACAGTGTGTTCATGGCAGCAGCTGTTTGCCAACAGCGTGATTCACGGCGACAAATTCAAGGCACTTTTGCCATACATATATATATACACACACACACACTATATAATACTCATATATATATATATATATATATATATATATATATATATATATAATTGTAAATTTTTGATCTGTCGCATCTCTCTCTCTGTGAACATCAACAGGTATCGGCTAGGGTTTATCATCACATACACATACACACTCTGTATTGTATGTAGAATCTATATGCGTCGATTACTGATTACCGGTGCTCATCATAAATGGGTTCTGTGTATGAGCCGACGTTACATTTTTTTATGCTGCTTTTCTGCCCTAATTATAGACCTTCATAGGGCTCTTGGTTGAGCCTATTACAAGCAGATCTGGATAATACTTATCTATATATATATATATATATATATATATAATTATAAATTTGCAAAACATTTAGATAGTTTTAAGTATATTTCTTTAGGTTTATTTTTTATTTATTTATTTATTTATTTTGACAAAGTCAAATGGCATTCAAGTCATTTTATATGGTGTCAGATGTTTAAAGATAACAGTTGGATAACAGTTGGGATGTGAGTGAAAAATGAAACAAACGTTTGTAGCATGAGTGATAGTAATTTTCAAAATTTGTTTTAAGGTGATATTTGGTCAAACCTAAAAAGGTGTTAGTAAAATTAATCCAAAAATAAAAGTTCAAGCAATGATACAAGTCCCGTCACTTTACTAGTTTGATGGATGTAGTTTCACAGTTTCGTGGGACACTTGACTGGTCAACTTTT